CGTGGCAGGAGTGGGGCTGTGCGCCTCCAGCCCCTGCCACAAACCGAGCGCCCTGGCTTGGCCCCCAGCTCCCCGCGGCGGATCTCTTGCGCCCCTCCTTCGGGCTCAGGGCACGGAGGAGGGCTGTGCAGCGCTTGGGTGCTGTGGGGAAGGAGCTGGTGAGAAACCCCTGGTGCCTTGTGCCTTCTCCGGCAAACTGCCCTTCGCTCCCTGGCTTTCTGGCCTGCTGCTTCCCGCAAAGTGAATGTCACCCCCTTGCTTTATTCCGCCTGGACTTTATCCAGTGTCCTGCTACCTGTGTACTCTTTCTGACCCGATTCGACTCCCTCACCTTCTCTGCCTTATCCTTTCACTGTTCCCTGCCACAATCCTGTCCACGTTCTGTAGATGGAGTACCCATCTGTCATTCCTTGCCAGGGGCAACTGAAAACAGAGTGGGGGAGGATGCAATTCCCTGGCCTTCCTATTTTGCCCTGAGGAGCTTTGGTTGAACTCCTGTGACCCTTATGGCTTGTAACATTTTTTTTTACCTTTTTATTTTTTTGGGTGGTTAACAACAACAGCAAAACCCCCCTGTAGTAATAATATTCTGCTTTTTCTCGCCCGATGTGTAGGAGGGAAGTTTGAGGTTTCCAGGAAACAAAAATCTGGGAATCTTCTCATTCCTGATATCAACATGCTAGATACCTTAGCGAACTCACAGAAGCAGTTTCCATTGTGTTACCTTTTCTTGTCAAGCGCTCTTTGCCACTTTGGAAAGCCCGAGACCAAAATGTAAGGAGCTACAGTCTCACTGCAACTGCGTATACAGCTTCAGAAGTCTGGTTCATCTAACTTTCTCTGACTAGCTACGGATGTGCTCCTTACAGATGTTTTAAAAAGTACGACTGCCACAAATAGGTTGTGGATGTGTATGTGGAGTTCAGTGAGAGGTTTATCTGTAATGTCTCATAAAAGTGAGCTCCAAATTGACACGTGGAAGGACAAGGCAATAGAGAATTAGTCCGTTGTAAAATGAATGCTAGGATAGAATGGGACAGATTTCCTCATGTGCATCCATTGGGCAATATATCTTCTGCTTTTCTTCATTCCTGAGTAAATTGCTTCAGATTTGGGCTTTGTTTTCTTAAAAGGAAAGCAGGCGATAACGAAAAAAAAATTCAGGCAGATGTGCCTGTAGTTTTGTCAGCTGACCATTTTTCTAGCATTAGTTTTTTCTTGGCAGGATAAAGTTGGGTATTATGCCTAATGTGTGTAATGCTTTCAAAATCATTTAGAATTGGACAGAAATAGGGTAACAAAGTTTGACTCAACTTTTTATTTTATCATAACCTCAGATAATGTCTAGGAAAAAGCTCCAAAGTTGATTGAATTTGAAGCAGGGATTTTAAAAAACAAGCAGCTGTATTAATAAGGATGTTCTTGTATGGGCATTAAGTTAATAATATCTGTATTCTTTTTTAAAACGGTAACAGTAGTATAAAAAAAGCACTAAAAGTGAAAGTAAAATATTTGTAAGCATAGGCATACTTAAATCTAGGATCAAAATTAGCTACACTTATTGGCATAAAGGAAAGAAGCAGCTTCTGGGTTGTGAGCTAGGAAGTTAATGCTCTACCTGAAAACTTTTCACAACTTTTTCTGTTTTTCTCAGTTCTCAAAATTATGATTACAACAATACAACATGAATGCCATCAGACCTTACTGTGAGAGAAAGCGAGCGAGAGAGAGAGAGAGATTTAAAGGGGCATGTGCCTTGTGCTTTTAGTTGCTCAGGTCACTGTTCTAGAATTGGGAACGCCAAGCGACTTGACCTGGTCAAGTTCTTAGCTGTAATTCAGGACGGATGCATCTCCAAGGTAGAAGCTATCCTGGGATAGTTCCACTGTCAAGTTGTATACTGGTGAATTAAGACTCCTGTTAGTGTATATGCAGTCCTCTTATGCCCTTGTTTTCATTTCCAAAGAAAAAGTTGTTTTTTTAAGTTTCATAGTAAGACATTTGGGAGCTGAAGTCTGAAGAAAACTATGTAATTAAAGTAGTTCTTTTTGTTTCTTATGTTAATCAAGATTGTGTGATATTGTCCCATTGAAGTTTAACCTATTTTTTTTTAAAAGATGACTTCTAGTATTTGTGGTTACCTTTAAAATTTGGCAAATGCTATAGTTAAAGATTAGGCATTTGTAAATGTTTGGGTACTCGGAACTGTTTAGATGGTATAAGCTAAATTCTGTGGGGAAAAAAACTTAGCTTAGTACATGTTTAGATTTGTGAACTGAACACAAGTGTAAATATACAACACAAAGTTGCAAACTTCAGGCTCTTTTTGGACAAAAGTAGCAGGTGGTTTGCTTGCAGCTTTGGTCCTGCAACATAGAAAATGTTAACAAGATGTAATAAAATATAGCTTGTCAATTAAATTCAAATAAGTGAAATTAGTGCATGAAAATATAGGAGTGTGCATATATGTATTACACAGCATGTAGGTATAACATAAACAACATTTAGTATTTATTGCATAAATAGCCTACTTATAGATCTGTATGTTAACAATAATCTGTGAACTAAGATAACTAATAGTTACCTTAAGATTACTGCATGCATAGCCTTCTTTCAGTGCTTAGTTTTGATTAATTGAAAAATAACTGAAGGTACAAACAACTTGGTGTAAAGTGAGATGATGCCTTATAACTAGGTTTTAAAACAAAAATCTATTCAATGAACTTGCAGGAAAAAAGAGCTAAAGTTAATTGTTATATCAGGAAATTAACAATAGAAATGTTGTCCTAGCCCATTGTAAGTCACTTCATTATTTCCTTTTTAAAAATCATGCTGTCACTGATACTAGCAGTTGTTTCACAGAGTTGGAATTTCTCTGATATTTTTGAATAGCTAAAGATTATTTTTCTCCTCGTGCTGCATTTGATCTCTTGTTGTATAAAGTGTTTCATTATAATTTGGTGCAGAGTTACTTAACTTTCTATGGTTTGTATTCTGTTTAAAAATATATATATTGTTAATGTTTGACACTTCAGGGAGAGAGAAAATAACTTTGAACGAAGTACTTTCTTTAGAGGTTAGAAGGCCAAGTTATACATCTTTAAAAGAAGTTTTTAATATCACATAGCTTTAATTGGCCCAAATCTCCTTCTAATTAGTCAATGCACAGCAAATATGCAGAAAAAACATTTCTTGTAACATTTATAATTGTGGTTTTCTGAAATATTTATATCAAAGACGGAATAAGGGTGTTTCACACTGCCTAAAATAACAATAGTTTTAAGGTATTACAGAGCTTTTTCACATGTGATGCTGAGTAGTAGTGTTGGGTGAAGCAATTTATAGCTCAGAAAAGTCTGCGGGATCCATTCAGATGAAAGATTCTATGTAGTGTGTGTGTGTGTGTGTGTGTGTGTGTGTGTGTGTGTGTGTGTGTGTGTGTGTGTGTAAAATACAATTAAATTACATACCTTTTGTCTTCTAGTTTTGAGAGAGAGCATTTTTTTTTAGGTTGCCAAAGATTCAAGAGTCAGGAAACACCAGATCATGTGTTGCCTACCACTGAATGAGGCATGAGACTTTATGGAGAAAAATTAGTGTCAAAAGACTGCATCATAATGTGTAGGCACTAGGAAACGGAGTTAAGGTTGTACGGGCAATTATAAGCCTGGCATTTTCTAACTTTCACATGTTTGCCTTTATAACCTAAGTAGCTTTCTTATGATGTGATTTTTGCATGCATTTTCATTGTCCCCTCTCTCTCTCTCTCTCTCGCCCTCCTTAAGGAAAGATGAAAGGTGCAAATATCAGTTGTATTTCTATATAGCTACTCTTCTGTGCGCATCATCAGCAGGGTTTGAATCCTTAACATGTATGGGAATAGTTAAAAGCTGTAACTGCACAGAACTAGCTATATATCATCACCTGATGGCTAGAGAATGCTGTTATCCTGGGAGGGTGCAGGGAGATAGTGACAGTGTCCTATGGCCTTGGACCATGAGGTGGTTGATTGACACTCAGCTTGGTTTTATCCCCTCTCCTGAATTTGTGGGATGGGATGAGGATGAGATGAGGCCATGGATGCTTTGCATTGCCACAGCAGATGCTATCACCCAAGCCAGTGCCGTATGCTGCTACAGTGTTAGCCCAGCTCTTTAGAATGCTGTTGCTCAGTCATTGGTTTGGCCTACTGCTAAACTTTTTTTGAGTTACGCAGACAAGAGAAGAGGAATAGTGGCTTTCCACATTTTGTAATCCACCTAAACGTGAATGGGGTGTTGTTTTTTGGGGTTGTTTTTTTTTTGCTTGAGAGCCTTTTTCCTTGGGAATCGCACAGTTTGGCAGCACAATGGAAAGTTGGCCACCGAAATAGGGTGGTTAATCAGCTCCCTGTCGAACACTGAAGCATATCATGGAAGAACCCCAAAGTGCTTCAACCGCAGTGGGCTTCGACCATTGTAGTATAGTGGCTTTAGACTTCCCTGGAGAGAATTCACTTGCTCTTGAAGTTGAGTGTAGGAGTCTTTTAACAGCACCAGTCATCCTATAGCAGTGAAGAACATCTGTCTCTGTTAATGTTGTGACAAGACAGTGTGGCCTACAGTGTTGCAATTAAGATTATGTTACTCTTGCACATCCTTAACTGTTGCAGTGTTGGTGTACTACTATAGTTAAATATTACATAGATTGTAAACATCATACACATGTAAAATCAAGGGTTGAGTAAATCTGGGACACTCCCCTGCTTTGAAGTTAATTTATATTATTAAAAACACGCCATGTCTTTTATTAAGTGTGCTGTTCTCTGGAAGTGATATTGGTAAATTGTGATAGGATGTATTATGTCATTGTATAATATGAAACTATTAAAACCAGCTTCTGCGTGTATGTGTTATACAACCCTCACTTGCAAAACTATATTCAAGTAATGTGAGAATGCAGAACATGCAGCTGTTAATATACAGCTCCTTGGAATGATATGATGTAATTAAGCAGGGTTAATGATTCATACTGACCACCAGAAAAGCTCTGTAGCAATGTAAGGAAAGGACATGTCAGCACTTCCCATATTTTTTAAAACGAGGGTTTGTATCTCCTGGTGCAGTCTTCAGAATTAATTTTTGAAAGAATTTATACAAGACATTTGCCAAAACCCCTAACCCAGAACCAGCAGCTGTATCAAAACATATTGTAACATTCTGTAACATTATCTTCACTAATCTATAAAAATGCAAAATATTACAGAATAATTCGAACAGATGCAAAGAAGGATGCAGCAGCAAAAACAGAACTGAAAAATTACTCGGACAAACAGTATTTGGGATGTTCCATTATAGCATGTTTGAAAACCTGTCATGAAAAATCTACTAGCTTGTGTAATTTCCCTAGGAATTTCTCTTTTGGTTTCTTGGCAAAAGTGAAATAACAGATAAGGAATAAGGGGATTATCTCTTTCCCCCACTACTTTATTGTTTTGTTAAACAACCTCAGCAGTCACTATTTGATGAGGCACTCTTAATGTTTATTCCCCTCAATTTTTTTTGTG